TAAAAAAAATGTATCCTCAATTGTTGTGGAAAAGTATACTGAGTGGTAAAAAAACAAACAAACAGCGAAATTTTATTACAACACAATGATTGGCAAAATACAACACATAGGTTTCAAGTTATTTGTTGTGTTTTTTAACTGAAACTTTGCACACTTCTTGAGTGATATAGCTGGCATGAACTGAGGGTCCAACACATTCATCTGAGCTCGCGTTGACCTTGACCTTGGTGAGCAAACTTAGTAACGCGTATGGCCTCCACGTGCAGCGATTACAGCGAGGCATCTTCTGTTCATAGAGTTAATCAAACGGTTGATCTGACCATTTTGGATGCCACCAAAGATCTGGATGATGGCTGCAGTCAACTGGGCTGCTGTTCCAGGCCGTGGCTGCATCCGATTAAGCTGTCTTTGGATCACGTCCCACAAATGTTCAATAGGGTTCAAGTCTGGTGAGCGAGGTGGGTGTGCCAATACATTGGCATTGTTCTGCTCCAGGAAGTTCTGGGTAGCACGTGCGGTATGTGATCGTGCGTTGTCTTGTTGATACAGGAAGTTAGGATGCCTCTGTAGAAAGGGCAGCACATGAGGTACCAAGACCTGTGCAATGTAGCGCTGAGCCGTGACGCCGTTTCCACGTCCTGGACAAATGTTCTGGAAGATGACAGGTCCCACTCTATGATTCAACGCCATGGCTCCCCATATCATCACGCTCTCGCCTCCTCAAGGTTCACGCTCCATAATGTTGTTGCCCTGTAGCGAGTGGTGTCTCTACGCCACACACGGACACGACCATTCCCTGGATGGACGCAGAACCTGCTTTCATCACTGAAGAGGACTCTCCTCCACTGTGCGTTCCGCCAGTTGACATGCGCCTGCGCCCACTGTAGCCGTTGTTGTCGATTCCTTGGTGTTAGTACAGCTCCCTGGTAAGGACGCCTGCAGTGGTGCCGACGAATGATGACACGATCATGGGCCTGAGTTGTCACCCTTGGTCTTCCACTTCTTGGTCGATCTGCTGTGGTCGCTGTCGCTTGTAATCGGTTCCGAAGGTGATAAATGGTGCTTGGGTGGACACCAAAAACCTGGGACACCTGTTCCACCGACTCACCGGCCGCCAGTCGTCCGACAGCTCTTTCTCTGCTTTCTCTTGATAACCTGCGCATGTCTGTAGCTCGTCTGTTTCCATATGAATGCAACATTTCGAGGCGCGGATTTTATAGACGTACGCCCAGGACTGAGTGAGCGTAAACTCACCACCCACAACAGGTTGCAAGTGTGTCCCAGTGGTGAGTGATGACTCGTGAGTTGTGTATTGCTTAAGCAGCCAATGACATCTTTGCGACGCTAAAAAATCAAGACGCTTGAGGCAAGTGTTGAGAGATATGAGTTCATATCACACAACTATGAACTCAGCATTAGGCGATTACAACAACATAACAAATTCGCGTTTTTTTGCACCTCACTATATTATTAGGTTCATACAAATTCATACAAAATGCTGTGCAAAGTATGGATGACATTGATTCACCCGTTAACAGAGATATTTGAGGATAAGTTGCGCCACGAATGTTTGACTGCACTGTAGACAATTCTTGGAAAACCAAATTAAATCATACCTTAATACACGCGCAAACACAATATAAAGTTTCTTTGATTTCGCACTATTTTGTCGAGTCTAATTTTCTAAGGTCAGTTTTGAGCGACCATATCTTGGGCGCCTCTTAACAGATGAAATATTAATGCGCTAGATGACACATAATTTATTTAGCTTTAAACTGGTGTGGGTAGTGCAAGGCTTTAACGTATTGTTTGGGTGATTACATTTTCAAGTTTCTTTTGAACGTCACTATATAAGCGCGAGCGAGAGAGAGAGAGAGAGAGAGAGAGAGAGAGAGAGAGAGAGAGAGAGAGAGAAAGAGAGAGAGAAAGAAAGAGACAGAGAAATAGAGAGAGAGAGAGAGAGAGAGAGAGAGAGATAAGATAGGATAAGATAAGATAAGATTAAGATAAGATAAGAGGGACATTTTTCTTGTCTTTACAGGACCGTAAAAACACATGCAGGTATACATAAACATTTAAATTATATATTACTCTCATTAAAATTCAATATGAAAAGAGAAGTAAAGATGACAAAATGTACATATCACATCAGGTGCATCATTCAACCACATGCAGGAATTTAATTACAGGACCTTTAGAATTAAAAAGATACATATCCGAAACAGCAATACAAATTGATGCTTATTCTGACAATAGCCTTGTGCTAGATGGTAAAAATCTTCTTTTATATCCTTCTTTCTTTGGTTTTAGAGGTATATATCTGCCGCTGCGTTATTTAACAATTTGTGTGGAAGGGGGGTGTGGAGGATCGTTTTTAATGCTTTAAAAAAATATTTTTTATACTTGTGGTGTTATACATTTAATAAATTCTAGTAAAATCATATCCTGAGATCTTGCTGGCTTTCTTAATGGTTCTGTCGAATTTTTCTTTATCTTTCACCCTACAATTCCCAGCCCAGCAGCAAATACAAAATAATAGCTCGTTTTCAACCATAGAATGGTATAAAAGGGACATAATCTAATTATCGTCACGAAAACTTCTTAATTTACTTAAAAGGAACACTCTTTGATTTACCTTTTTATGCACAAGAGCAGCGTGGGAATGCCAGTCAATCTTGTTATCAATAGTTATTTCAAAATAAAAAGGAGAGAGTGAGAGAGAGAGAGAGAGAGAGAGAGAGAGAGAGAGAGAGAGAGAGAGAGAGAGAGAGAGAGAGAGAGAGAGAGAGAGAGAGACGGGGAGACAAACAGACAGACAGACAGACTGACAGACAGACAGCTTACCTCCAAGAACACGTTTCATTGACGATATGAATGTGATTGACATTATAATAGATTCATTAAAAAAATATTTAAAAAGCGCCATTTTTCATATCAACGATGTGTCTGAAGAAATGCTTTTATTTTCTGAAAAAAAAAACTGGCGTCTCGTGAACACAATAATCTCCACTACTGTCACATCGAGGTAAATTATAACATTCAATCAATGAAGAGAAAACATGGAGGGGGAAGAGAACTGTTTCAATCAAGAAACATCATACTCCTTAATTCTTAATCATAAACGGGCTGAAAATCAGACGGAGGGTCATGGGGCCCCGCGGCAGCTACAACCACCTTGTCCTCTCCCTTCCCCACGTTCTCTCCAAAGCCAAACATCGGCACTGCGTAATCAGCACCAACCCCTGGACGTGGTAGCTCTGTGTGATTGCCAAATTCCATCTCAACCTTGTAGCCCTGAATGTCCTCAAACTTTCCCTCCAGGACAAACTCATAATGCGTCTGATTGGCCAGATATCCCACGACGTTCTTCACCCACGGCTGTTGTTCAATCAAATCGCCCCACATCCACGGATACGACCACTGCTCTTTCTCCTTTTTGACAGCGACGAAAAACGGCGTGTCTTTATCGCCGAAGCGGTACTTGAAGCCATACTTACTGCGTCCAACGTAACTTCTGTGGTAGTTGCGTTCCTTTTTGAGATTTCCCTCCAACTGAGCGGTGCACTCCATGCGGAGAGTCGCCCTGTAGTATTGTGTGGTCCGGATCTGGTACATCCGGGCCACCCATCGCGCCGCTGTGTATGGGTCCAGCTCCTTCTCTATGGTCACCTCCATGGACTGTTCCTGGACATTTTGCGTCTCGTCCGTGGTCTTTTCCCCACCCTCCGCAGTTATGCTGAAGCTAAACTCACCCCCCAGGCCCCCTGTCACATCTGAGGGTGAGTAGCTGACCTTGATCCCGGTGGTGACAGCCACCTTCCAGTGACTGGTGAGCGAATGTGTCACAGTACGAATACTTTTGTCATGTCTAGTTATGATCTCCACAGCTGGAGTGGGATGGGGGTTGGTCAAAACACCAGAGTCGATCGTTTTCGGCTCGAGTTCTGTTGTTTTCCTATTTGAATACTTCACATCCGACAAGCCGATTTTCCAGTCGCCATAAGAGATTTTCAGCTGGCGATTGTTGTTCCTCGCACATTTCTTCGCCTTCCAAGAGTACCCATCTTTCTCGAAATTGTCTCCGGGCTGATCTCCAAAGCATCCCACGGTCCCATCGTAGCCCAAAAACGAGGCTAACTGAGCCAGTCCGTTGAGAGACCTTACCATGACCTTGTCCTTCGCCACTTCCACAGAATCCACACTGATCTCAGAGGTCATTTTGCAGCATCTCAGTTGAGATATACAGCCCCAGCCGGAGCAGTCGCCGCGGTAGATGCCCGCCAGGAAGTAGCCCTCTCGCCGGCAGTGGCTGGAGCTGGATGTGCGCTGGTTGTAACAGTCGCCGTATACGTCGTGAAGCTTATTCGATTTTGTACACCTTCCCTCTTCCACTGCGTACACGCCTTTCTCGTGATTTGTGAACTTGAACCCTTGCAGGAAGTGACCCTGGGGACATATCGCCCACCTGTTTTTCTGGTCCAGAACGATCAACCAGTCGGCTACGGTGGTCTCCGTTTCAAAGACAGAGGAAAACACATTGGAGCACACTGGGTGCTTCAGAGAGTGCTCGGAGATTCCGCCTGGAAAGCCGGTGATCACCTCTGTCCTGAGCCTGCACTGCTTGTTGACATACTCTTTCTTCCTGGACTTTTTACACGCGTGGCAAACCGTTGTGAGGAAGTACACGCTGAGCACAGCGAGGGCGAGCAGCCGCCAGTCACCCCTCATGACCCAGAGCTGAACGTGGTGAAAACGCTAAAATATCTACTTACTGGCAAACTACGAGAAAACTTGACGTGGCAGTGGGTGTCGATCAGTGCTGAACGTCAGATTGACCGCCAGGGGCATCTTTTTATACCTCCAAACATGGTGAGCTCACCCCCCCCCTCTGCCCCGTGACCCCACTCGTGAATGAGTCTGGACCCATTTCCGAGGAAAATCCCTAAACTTTGTCAGGGCAACGTTGTGGTGGACTGCAGCGTTGGAGAAGAGAGAGAGAG